TTTTCCTTTGTTAAATTTACCTACATTCATTGATATAGTTTCATATTTGGTTTTAAGACTATTAACATTATCATTCAAATTAGAAATACGAACTTTAAAGAAATCACATTCCTTTTTAAGAAGTTGATTGTTACTAGATAACTTGTAATTTTCAGAAAATAACTCTTTATTCTTCTCTTTAAGATCTTCTATTTGTGAAGCATAAAGAGAGACTAAAGTGTTATTCAAATTTTCATTTTTATTTTTTAATATTTTAAAAGAAGAATTTAGTTGCTTGTATTTCAAAAATAATTCGTTAAATGCGTCAAGTAACTCATCATGATTACTTACTTGATCATCATCAGATTCATTTGCCATAAAGCACATATTCGCTTGATGATCTTCTTTTTCCTCTTCTTCATCTGAAGATGACTGGTCACTATCATCCCATGTTATCGACAAAGCCTTCTTCTTTTTGTTCTTCACTTGTTCATTCTTGTTCTTTGTGAACCCGTTGAAATTGTTAGAAGACTTCGACTTTAACTTTTGTTGTAGGGGACAATCTTTCTTGTAGTGTCCTGGCTTATTACAACCAAAACAAGTGACTTTGTTAGTATCTTTGAATTTACTAGAAGAGAACTTACCTTTCTTCAAGAATTTTCTGAATTTGCGTGTGATTATTTCAAACTCTTCTTCGTCATCGGAATCCTCATCATCAGTAGATGCTTGGAAAGCAAGAACCTTCTTGTTCTTATCTTCATTATCCTTTTTCCGATCTTCAAGTTGCACCTCGTATGCCATCAAATTCCCTATCAAATTTTCTACTGTCAATGTGGAGAGGTCGTTGGCTTCCTCTATTGCGGTAGTCTTCTTTTCCCAATCCGAAGTAAGAGCCCGGAGGATTTTCCTAACCATCTCCACTTGTGTATAGTCCTTTCCTAACGCAATTAGGGAGTTGATGATGTCGGTGAACCTTGTGAACATTTCACCAATTGTCTCGTTGTCTTTCATCTTGAACATTTCAAACCTGTGCACTAAAACAGAAATTTTTGAGTCTTTAACCTTAGAAGTTCCTTCGTGGGTTACCTCAAGTGTGTGCCAGATTTGATGTGCAGTGTTGGAAGTAGACACGCGGTTGAATTCATTCTTATCCATTGCGCAAAACAATGCATTCATTGCCTTGGCGTCAAGATTCGCATTTGTCCTTTCCACCAATGTCCATTCAGAGTATGGAGTAGTAGGCTTGTTGTAATTAGACTCCACTATGCTCCAGAGATCGAATCCTAACGATTGAAGGTAGATCTTCATCCTACACTTCCAGTAGTTGTAGTTGGAACCATCGAAAAGTGGTGGTCTTTGAGTAGAATGTCCTTCCTTGAACTGTGATGTAGATGATGTAGCCATTGTTATTCTTGATCAACCTGCTCTGATACCAATTGTGGGATCGCTGCAATGGCACTCAAACACTAGAAAGGGGGTTGAATAGTGTTTATGAAATTTAATGCGGAAACTTTAAATTTCAATAAAATAATATCACAAAGAGTAAGAAAGATCAAACCAATGTGTAGACAATCACAGAAAATTGCATACGCAAACACAAGGATTTATACTGGTTCGGTCCTCCAGACCTACATCCAGTCCCCAAGCCTCGCTTGAGATTTCTCCACTATTTCCACTTGCAAAACCGCAAGCACTTGCAACCCGCAAGCAAACCGTACAACCTTGACAATCTTCAATTGCCAATTCCACAACAATCTCTTCTTTCAAGAGATTATCAAACTGAAACAAAATGGTACAACTCTTTATCTTCCTATAAGCCTTGATGTGTAGATGTGAGTGACTTACAATAGGCTATAGGAATGGTTTTTGTTCTAGAGTAATGGAGTTTTAATCAAGTGAAAATTTCACTCAGTTTTTTCTCTTCAAAATGATCTTAAGAAGTCAAGAAAAACTCAAGTTTATGTAAAGGAATTGATAGATCAAATTTCAGAACTTAGCACCTATTTATAGGTATAATTTTCGTTCAAAAATATTCAAAAATAACTACCAAAAACGTTCACAAAACGTTCATATTCATTTGAAAAATATAGCTGTTAGAAGCACTGTCTGGTCGACCATATTGAGGCCTGGTCGACCAGACAGACTTTTTAAAAAATGTCTGTCCGAGTCTGGAGCCTCTGGTCGACCAGGTCTATATCTGGTCGACCAGACAGAGATTTTTCTGAATCTCTGTTTCTGGTTATTATATCTGGTCGATCAGACAGTTATTATATCTGGTCGATCAGACATTTCTTTGGTCGGCCAGAAACTATGTTATACATATTTTCAATAGATTAAAATGTTATTCATTCGGTCGGCCAGAAACTATGTTATACATATTTTCAATAGATTAAAATGTTATTCATTCGTTAATTAGACTTATGATTATACTTAGAATATTTTCTATGATTTTCTAAGTGATTAGTGTGTTGTGTGTGTAATCAAGGCTTGTACAAAGATTCTAAAAAAAAGACAAAATTACATCACTCTTGTAAAGTATATTTTCTTCTTGAAGTGCGAAGTGACTTGATTAACTTCATCTTTTTGATCTTAGAAATCTTGTCTTTGATATAGCCTTAATATCTTGATTGTTGCTTTGAGATATATATCTTGAATCTGCAGGAGGCATGAACAACAAGCTGGCAGAACGAATCAAGGTAAGCCTAGAAAAATGTCCTAAATAGAAGTTAAATCTTGATGAGTCTAATGGAGGAGGATTCAGTTCATTAATCAAACAAAATCAATTTCGAGTATATATTTATACCCATATTGAATTGCAATTTATTCATGTAACTTGTGGTCACTGCCATCCTTTTAGTATGGAATAGCAAAAATACTTCTAATAGATTATGGTTACCATTTCTAGCTACAGATTGTCATCAAAATCAGTTTACAGTTATTTGTTTTTCCAGAACATGGTTAATCTAATTATGATTACCTCTTTCCAAGACTTCCTCAATCGGCTGGTTAGGGATCATGGAAGCATCGATCTTGAATAGTTAAGATACATTCCACCAGAAAAAAGCAAAGTAAGAGTTATAATGTAAATCGTGTATTGACTCTTAAACCAGCAGTAAAGGGGGTTTGCAATTTCATCTTATATGTACTATAATGTAAATCGTGTATTGACTCTTAAACCAGCAGTAAAGGGGGTTTGCAATTTCATCTTATATGTATATATTCCACCTAATTTTTCTGTTTGCTCCAATCTCATGTGAAGCATCTTGAAAACTCAGGCTTTAATTATACATCTAAACCACAGGCTAACCCCCCCCACCCCAATGTAGCTCACAAATATTACCAGATAGCCAATACCTCAATGTAGAGAGAAAGGCAGAAATGAATGGAGCAAATACAATCAATTACAACAACAAAAAGATACACCAATGTAATAATGATCATCATTGGCCTAAATGTGCATCAGATGGATACGTAAAATAGAATTTTTACCTGATGAAATTGACACAGGATTAATTAGAACACTTGAAGCAAGCCCTAGATCGGAAAACACTTGACCTATAGTTGAAATAGAAAAAAAATTAGATGCTGGCTAATTAGAACCAAATTAAATGAAATTATTCTTTAAATCTTTAAAATTAAAACAAAACGAAGCAAAGAGTCTAACTAATTCCCAAAATTTGAGAAGAACGGTGAAGCGTTGATGATGATGGAGGTAGAATGGTGATGATGACTGAAAAAACTAAGAATTCATCTTCATCTTTAAAAGTCGAGGGAGGTAACGGAAGATCGGGGGAGACGACGTAACCGATGAAGTGTAAGGATTAGGGCGTAACCGATGAATTGAAAGGAGGAGGATATAGGCGTAACCGATGAAAGAGTAAAGTGGTTTATGAATTCAGGATACGTTTAGTAACTAAATTTGGTGGAGGGCTATTTTGGGGAAGGTAAAGTTTTTCATGAACTCCCTCTTTTAAAGGGTAATAATAATAATAATAATAATAATAATAATAATAATAATAGATAAGTACTTCCAATAATTTTATCCATGTCACTTTACGCAAATGCAGCGTATTCTCATCATCAAGCGCGCTGCTAATATTTTCTAGGCCTCATAAGTGGCTGTTTGGATCAGGTATTTTGAAGGGAAAAAGAGGGGAAAAACTATCAATTTGTCAGTTTTTTGACAGCTTTCCCCCAAAATCACATCTTATCCCCTCCTCCCCCCTTCAAAATACCGGATCCAAACGGGCCTAAGGGTCCGTTTGGTTGGTTTCCTAAAAACCAAGAAAAGAAAATCGGTACATGAAAATCAATAAAATAATATTTTTATCCATTTCCATCCCTAAAACTCACCCACAACATCCAATAAAATATTATTTTTATCTTCCAACTCATCTCATTTCATATCATTTCTTACATTTAAAAATAAACCAAACACAAGAAATGTGTCACATCATCCAACTCATCACATCTCATCTTATCCTATTTTTAAAAATCACACACATCATCCAATAATATTGTGACAACTCATCTCATCTCATTAAACCTTCATTTCCATCTATTTCCTCAAAAAAAAAAACAAGAAATTGATTTTCGTAAGTATGTGTCACATCATCCAATAATATACCTCCAACTCATCTCATCTCATCTATTTTCTTATTTTTAAAAATGAACCAAATACAAACAACCTCAAAACATCATCCAATAATATACCTCCAATTCATTTCCTTATTTTTTTAACCAACCAAACAACCTCAAAACAATTTTTTTTAAAAAAATCACTCACATCATCCAATAATAAGGTGACAACTCATATAATCTCATCTCCTATTCTATAATTTCCTTCTTTTTTAAACCAACCAAACAACCTCAAAACAATTATTATAAGAAATAGGTTTCCTATTTTTTGATTTCCCAAATTTTTTTGCGAAAGGAACAGTCCCTAAGCTCAAAACCATATCCTGCCTGAAATCACGCACAACTTACGTGCTATAAAATATTCCGTTATCCCTCACCCCCCTCACTCACTCACCCATCCCCTCAAGCTCGGCACCACCATGGCTCCCGAACCCCTACTACCTCTCCCTTTCCTCTTCGTCCCTCTCTTTCCTTCACTCACAAAACCCTAACCCTAACCTAACCCTAATTCCTCCGAAAAGAACCTCTCCAATCTCCTGCCGCTCCTCCAACCACGACCGTCGCCGTGCCCGAGGGCACCGGCGCCGCCGCCCCCACTCGCGGCGATCTCTTCCTCGATCGCCACAACTCGAAATCCGCCGCTAAGTCGTACTCAAGAGAGAAGGAGGAAGAAGAAGAGGAGGCTAGGAGCCATGGCCTCTACTTCTGTAGCTTGCTGCTACGGCTGCGGTGCGCCGCTTCAGACGGTGGAATTGGATGCACCAGGTTATGTCGACCTTGAGACTTACGAGCTGGTGAGGTTTTCTTGGAATTCCTAATTTTGGGGGTATTCAACTCAATGTGGTAGTATTGAGGGGTAAATTATGAATTATCTTGATTTGTGGGGGGTAAGGTCTTGTTCTATATGATCATATATTGTTGGTGGATTTCATGAATGGTTTAGTTGTTGAGTAGTATTGTTTAGGAAAAAGAGATCAATAAACTCAAATTTGTGTAATGTTGTCACATTATGCTGCCGACTTGTTTTTGATTGTTGGAAATTTGTAGCCTTTATTAATTTGTGGGTGCTATATCACTGTAGGGATGGAAAAAACGGTAACATAATTGATAATTCTCTTTTGGGATTGTCTGCGTGAATTCATTTTCTTTCATTCAGCTCTATTCAATGTCAGTTTTCGTTTATATCCTTTTTAATAGCTTCCGTATTTTGTTTACACATATCACTGGCTGTCAATGCTCCATTGACTATGATCCTATTACTTATCCTAATTAGCGCACCTTTTAAATTTGACACACATACACAAACCATCTTATTCGTTCTCCCTCTTTTATCCTTTATTTCGAGGGTCTACTATTAACCGGAAAGGTTGAGCTAGATGTCATTCTTGTGCCCGTAGCACATGCACTGAGATATGAAAAACTCACAGCATAGGGAATTGGGGATTGGGAAAGCTCACTGTTTTAAAAAACCTCCGCCTAGTCTGCTTAGGTGTACGCCTAGGCCTAGGCGATACCTAGGTCGTCTAACTAGCGCCTAGCGTCTAGGTGGTATTTAGACTGTCCATCTAGATTTTACGAGCGTTTAGGGAAGCATTGTCTGCTTACCTGGATTACACCCTGTAGGCATTAATTATGATTTTATGTGTCGTAGCCTACACGTCTCCAAACTCCATTAACCTTCAAATATGAGCACCTCCACTACCTCTTCCGGCTTTCAGCAAAACCTCATCGACCACCACTTAAATAAAGAAAGAAAAAAAACATCCAGAAACCGCTTAGGCACCCGCTAAGACGACTAAGCGCTGGGCACCAAGTCCGACGCCTATAAGCGCCCAACGTTTAATATAACATTGGGAAAGCTTATCCATGTGGACTAAATGAAACATGCTATCAACATTATAGCCAAATAACGAATTGGTGGATGCAATCCTCTTTTAAGTGATATTTTTTTTTTCACAAATTAAAATTGAAAATTTGAATTAATATCACGAGCGCAATCTATTATGCAAAGCAGTAGTTTGCAACGCTGCAAAAGGCTAAGCATGAATAATAATTTGAGAAGGTTATAGATGATAAGAAATTAATTTTTATTTAAATTTTAATAATATGAGAGGTACGAGCATCAAAATTTTTTTTTTCCAGAGTATCTATGGTCCTATGGAAACCAATTTGTTAAATATCTTGTTTGTGAGACAACTGACTTTGGATGACAGTTTAGTACTATGATACTTATCATGTATTGAAGGTTGTGAGAACAAGTGTCAGGCAATGCGATTGCGAATTGCTTGGGGGGGTGGGGGGTCATGGTAGAAATCTTGATTGTGTTGTACCTATTTGATTCTTTTATTTAACATTGTTCTCGGTAATTTTTGTTAATGATGACTTCTTGTATTATCTATTCTTGAAGAGCATCACATTTTGTGCCTTAATATATTCTTTGGTTTATGATGTTAAATTTGTCCCTATGATATGCAGAGGTAAAATCATCCAATATTAAGTGGCATTTTCTTTTCCAAGTTAATTATTGGATCATTGGTGACTTCATCTTCATCACTTAATCTATTTATAACTTTGCATTTGATGTTTGTTGCATGTTCTTGGGAACAGAAGAAGAGGCATCACCAATTGAAAACTGTCCTTTGTCGAAGGTGCAAATTGTTGTCACATGGCCGAATGATAACTGCTGTTGGTGGACATGGTGGTTACTCTGGTGGTATGCAGTTCATATCAGCAGAAGAGCTTCGTGAAAAGCTTTCTCACCTGAGGCATGAGAAAGTGCTGATAGTTAAGCTCGTATGTCTACCTATCTTCTAGCTATGGCGTTGTAGTTTCTCTAAGTAATTTAAGATTCATGATTTGTAATTTTTTATTTGCTCTAGCTCAGACCCTTGAAATCCCATGACGAGTTGCATGTGCATCATGCATTGTTACTTAACTTATAAGCTTTCCTAGGATATCAAATGGCAGTTTGAGAATCTAATTGCATAAACCATCCTTTTTTTTTTCTTCTAATGGATTTCTCTTGTTTGGAAATATTGATGAATGTTTGAGATTGAACTAGAGAAAAAATAAATTTCATCTATTTAGATAAACTATAGAACTTTATACCTTTCATATTGTCAGTCAAGGTTTTGTTATATAGGCTTGTTTGCTCTTTGAGGTATATAGCGGAAACATTTTTTCTTCATTATTGCTTAGTCTTAGTTTTTGTTCTGCTCGATCTGTTACGAGAAATGCTAAAAAAAAACAAAATTCTAATAATAAACAAAATTGAATTTAAATAAAGCTAGAACTGTAGCCTGAGAAAGTGGTGATCCTATGATCATTGCCCTAGAATAATAGTCACCGCCTTCGCAGAGACGATTTGATGCGATCACACCTAGCAATAAGAGCCCCCCAAGAAGAACGGCGCTAGAGCTTATTGCAAACTTTGGTATCTTGCTCAAACGGATCTTTTCTCGACAATGTAAAATCGAAATTACAGATATTGTAGAGGATTGTTGAGAGAGATCAGAGATTGCACACTGATTTTCTTTTCTTCTTTAGTCTTCCAGAGATCCCTTTTTATAGGATTGTAAATCTTTTTCCCGTTGAGTAATCGTCGCTAGGGGACTCGCTTGCGGAGGGAAAAAAGGAATGGAGAAAAATTATCGGGAGAGAGAAAAAAGTGAAAAGAAAACAGAAAAAAGTGAAAAGAAAACAGAAAAAAGTGAAAATTGTAAGATATATGAAAAAAAATTAATACGTGATTATATCACATTTTTGTTGAGTAATAGAAAGATCAAAAGATTTGTGAAGAGTTTGCAAGATATATGTAAAGAAATATAGGTATATGCACTTACATCCCTCAAGAAATTTGTATATGCAAAACAATTGAATTTGAATAGAAAAGAAACTCAATGTTTTCTTTTTCTATTCTAACCTATGTTACCTAGGTACTTCTATAATGAAGCCGTACCTGTACCGGACACGTACCTGCTATTTTCCCGTATACAAACTTCATGGACACTTCTTGAATATATGCATGCATTTATTACAATATGTACTCAATTATACAATGTAGTCTTGAAATTCATAGAGCTGGTCACTGATGAGTTTACTATCTACCATAACAAACTTATTGGAGGAGGAGAAACATTCTATACCGGCATCATCTGAGAGGAGGAGAAACGTTCTATACTAGCATCATCTGAACTGTACACAGACTCTAGTGCTTCCTGCAATTCTTTTGCATCCTTTTAATAAAATTAATAAATAATTAATATCATATAATTTGTTAGAAAGAGGACTAAGAATTCCGTTGTAACAATAGAGATGGACTCTATGCACTGTAAAGTAAGCAACTCAAGATTATAATCAAAATGGCTATAAGCATCAGATAGCAGGAAAATATGAGCACCGAATTGAAGACAACATCGATTAATAAAAGATATTATTATAAAGATGCAACAGCCAACAGGAGATCTTGACTTTCTAACTAGTAGATACAAGAAACAATAATTAACTATTATCAAAACTTGTATTTATAGTTTAACATACACGAAGCATGTAGGATCACTTAATTGGCAAATACAAAGGAATGCTATGAGCAGAGATTAAAGTTCACAAAGTAAATAAACTATTACAGTTCTAAAATGTTCCAGAAATAAGGGCACAGAGATATTTGTTTAAGAATTTACTAACCTAATCTTATAAGCAACAAAGAAATAATTATATAACAGCAAGAACACAAATATCTAACTTCACAAATTGAAACTTTCTATAAACTTCTAATGGCCAACAAACTAACAAATGGGTAGTAGCAGTATACTAGCATACATGAAGCAGGAGGTAAGCGAAGAATAGTAAAACGATCATAATATGCTACCAAAGAGCTTAGACTACTAGATAAGGATAAGAAACAAGTATGAACATAATACAATTATTAACACAGAGATTGATTAGTGGTCTTTGAAACTGATATAAACTTTTCCTTTAGTTTGGCCACACTAGATTTATCGAAGACAGAGGTCACCAAAAAATGCAACAGTAAATCAACAAAAAAAAAAGAAAAAAAGAGCAGAGCTTATAATTAAATATTGTTTAGCATACGGATGGGAGCTAAAAGGCTAACAACAAAAGTGATCATATACTACTAAGCAAAAGATTATTATCTTAGATACAAGCCTTGTACACGCAAGTGAATGACATGAAACAATACATAGAGGCCACAAATACTGTTTCATAAGTGGTGAAAACCATGTGCGACAGTAGCAAATGCAACAAAAAACCCAAGGTTCAAGCAGAGATTAAAATTGACAGCATAAGCTTAAAAAATAAAAATAAAAAATGCAACAATTAAACTTTATAAATTGTTGTTCTAGATTGTTACAAAAGCCACTGTAAAAAAAAAGTCTAAAATAATAAAAAAAGTGAATTTAAATAAAGTTAGAAATGCAGGCATGAGAAAGGGATAATTGTGTGATCGTTACCCTAGAGCAATAGTTTCAGCCTTCACAGTTCAATGCGACCACACCTAGCGGTAAGAACCCCCGAGAAGACCGGCACCAGAGCTTACTAGGAACTCTTGTCTCCTGCTCAAAACGGATATATGCCCGACAATAGAAATCAGAAATTAGAGAAATTGTAAAGAATTGTTGAGTGAGAATAGTGATTTCTCACTGGTTTTCTTGTCTCTGAAGTATGGATTCTACCTGGATCCAAGCTGATAGAAGTCATGGCCTACAAAACAAGCCTTCACAGTTTTTTCTTCTTTTCAAGCAGAGTAATCACTGAATGAGCAACATTTCCCAATTGAGGTCAAAATAAAAGTACTTTTGCTTTAAAAAGTATGTAGTTTCAGTCCACTTGTTCGTGCTAATGTTCTCTAGTCTGGATTTAGAAGCTACTTGCTTAGTACATATTTAACACTGATGAGAGATTTTAGTATGAGAAGATTAATGTAATGAGTCAGGCTGTATTTTCACTAGGAAGGTTAATGTGGTATTTGCTGGTCAATTGAATGCTTTGTTGTTACTTAGTATGAAAAAATTAGCATGATTCTAATTTTGCCATCTTTTATATTCATCGCTGGATTCATGTAGGTTGATATCGTTGACTTCAATGGCAGCTTTTTGGCACGAGTACGTGATCTTGCTGGTTCTAATCCGATTATATTGGTTGTAACTAAGGTGATAGTCCACCTGATGCAACCTCCTTTCACTTGCTGCTGTGAATTTTAGTTCCTTTCTACAACCAATTAGTAAGTGATCAACTAATTCTCTTATCCTCTTAAGGTTGATCTCCTCCCCAAAAGTACAGATCTGAATTGTGTAGGTGATTGGGTGGTGGAGGCTACTATGAAGAAGAAGCTCAAGTAATAATTTACATTTCTGCTTATGTTTTTTTTTTGTTTTGTTGGTGTGTGCACACATGCATTTCATGTAGCTCGTGCTTTTGTATTTTTTAATGCATGTCTAGATCACACCATTAGTAATATGCACATGTTCTTTACATTCAATGAATATTTAAGTTTTACTAATTTCACTGCATATTTATGATTTAGCTTATGTTTATGTTCCCTGAGCAGTTGTACTATTTTTGTGTTAGTGTATTTAATGGGCTATATCTGTCGTGTGTGGTTTGTTGCCTCATTTCTGCGACTTTGTGCTAATCAACTTTATATCGTTATGTGTATTCGTCCTGCGAGGCCGAGGCCTTCTGTTGCAGTCTACTAGATCATCTAATTTTCCCTATCAACTAGCTTATTTGATATTTATCCTAGATTTTTGACAAAATTGATATCTGTCATTTATCACGAAGGTGAGATAACCTTGAGAGGCTCAATGCATCAGGTGTGATTCACATTTTTACTCAAAGGAGACTTCATAGGCTTTCTCCTTGGTTGTGTTAGCTTAAATTTCTTGACCTGCGGAGTTGGTTATTTAATCCTTCTGATTGGGTAGATGGCTGAAAGTCTTGTCCAATAATGTTGTGGAGTTTTTTGGCTTTGAATTGTGATCCAAGTCAACCCCATTACCTTAGGGAATGCAAAACTATTTGTAATGATGAATGATGGTGTGTGAATTTTGGTTTGGATCTTTTCCTCTAGTCAGTTATTGTTCTTACTCCGTCTTTTTGAACAATAGACCTAGTAATCTACATGATCATATTCTTTTGTGATCTTGTGGTATATGACCTGAAACCAATGCGTTACAAAATATTTCAAGGGGAGGAGACACTGACACTAAGTTTGCATTATTTGTACAAATATCCGGTATTTGCATCGAGAAATTATTTGCTAATTTACAGGTTGAAAATAAATTGTTTATTTTTGTATTTAGCTGTTATTGAATTTCATCTTACACTCAAATGCACAAAGTTTCCATTTTAAGACATGGTTTTCTCTTTCAGTGTTATCAGTGTCCACCTTACTAGTTCAAAATCTTTGGTCGGTATTGTTGGGGTCATCTCAGAAATACAAAAGGAGAAAAAGGTCTGTCTCATATGCCTTTTCTTGTTAAGTTGGTCATATCTCGAGTCTCATGGTTAGTTACATGTCCTATGCAATGACTTCGTTTACTTCTGAATGCGAGTTTGTATCACATTTTGAGTCATGTCATATTTCTCAATACATGAGGCTGTATCATATCTTTGAGTCATGTCATATTTCCCAATACATTCACTATTTATTAGTTTCAAATTTCAACTTGACACTTTCTTCTACTTCTTTATGATCCGGTAAATTAGAAAGGCATTTTTTCACTTCTCAATGCAGGCACATGTGTTTAATGGTTTATTTCAAAAAAATTTCCTTCCAGTTTATTGTTCTATTTTGGACAAAAAAGAAGTCATTGTGATATATTCGTGTCTAACCATAACATACTACTGCATGATATTATGAGATTAAATTCTCTGAAAAGAAGTATCATTGAAACATATAATTTGAAATAGTGGCCAAACTTGTCATGATTGATGTTCATAGAGTATTATTATCTCACAACAGGTAAATAAGATTCTTCCCTTAAGCTTGTTCTACTTAATATAGTGGCCAAACTTGTCTAATTTTCATCATGAAATTCTAATTGCAGTAGATGATTTAATACTTCCAGATGCAGTATATCTGTGTTTCTCGTAATTCCTTATAATTTGAACACTCGGAATAATATTGAAACATGTTAGGATGAGGGTCATATGATATTTCATGTTTTTTTAATTTAAAAATTCAGAAAGCTATTGAAACATGTTTGGAGTGGGTTCATATGACATTTCATTGTTTATTTATGTAAATTCTTTTTGCCACAAGATAGTAGGTTGTTTTCTTGTGTATCATATTCATGATTGTAACTGCAATACGTGTGGTGGCATTTTGTGTATATCTACTGTACCTCAAGTATTTGAAATGCTATATTTAGCATGACATGAATGTACTATAGTGTTTTTTTAATGCCTAAGCTGATTTTGATTTCTTGGAAGTCTGGCCCACCTCACACCGTATATGTAGGGTTACTAGTGGAGTCCTATACATATGAGAGATAACTAATTATTTACCTATTGAACGATCTGAAATTGTGAGCTGATGATAATTCCTCCTTTTTTATTTGTGCAGGGACGGGATGTGTATATACTGGTAAGTGTTTCTTTGTGAAAATATTGGAAATGAATCTTTGCGAAGTTTCATATTCAAGTATCCTTCGGTTTCTAATATCTTACCCATCCAGATGAGTCGGGGATCTAGATTGGGCACGGGGAAATAAGCATAATTGTCACAGTTGAAATATTTTCTTTCATGGAATAGTGTATCTTGGTTTTTAAGGTAATAAGGAATATAAATCAAAAGTTTTAGATCTACAATAGAAGTGACACTTTAGATACTTGTAGGAATTAGTGGTCACTTTACATCCAAGTGTCAGACTTTAATGCATGCTTCTCAAGGTGAAATTAGACATCAAATACGCATCTTAATGTTTCCTCAAATAACTCAATAATCTCTAACAATTTATCCCATGACTCTTAAAAATACAGATAACAGGTTACTATTATTTTAAGAAAATAAAGTCTTACACATTTAATTTAGCACTTACATAAATAACTCTAGGTATCCTCTTATGCTATTTAACCTCCTTAGCTTTCCCTCCTCTGACCAGTGTTAAAATAAGTATTACTTGTTTGTGATATGACTTTCTGTAGTAGCAAGCATGCACAATCCTAAACTAACTTAAAGCACTCTAAAATACTTATTTATAGACTGAAACAATAATTGTTTCAGTTATCTATAACACAAGGCAACGAGTTGCAAGAAAAAAAAAATACATGCTCACCTTTTTGTGTTTGAATTCAAAGTAGCTATGCTACGATTATGCACGCTTAAGGTATCTTTATCATTAGTTCATAATACATTTTCATTTATCCTCAGGATTCTAAAGTTTGTTCATAACTCGCGTAATAAAAGCTAACGATGATGCAGATTCTTTATCTAATCCTATGGTGATAAGCAATACTTATTATTTGTATACGTTCACCATTGATATGGGCACTCATGTGTATCTGCACTTTTGCAATTCATCGGTTAATTTTTTCCATTTATATCATCAACTAGACTTTTTTCGTTTCCTTTCGCTTGGTTTTCTCTAACCTTGATGTTTAATATGCTTTCAATCGTATTACAGGGGGCAGCAAATGTTGGAAAATCTGCATTCATCAATGCACTGCTTAGTAAGTCTACAGTACTTAACAAATCATAACCCTTATCTTAATGATGATCAAATTCTTTTTTCTTTGCCTCAATGTATATTCAGTGTATATTCAGTTTGTCAGGTGAATGTGTAATAATTAGGGTTAGTTAGAGACAATGTTACAGAAGGTGCTAGGCAGACTAGACGTTTGAGCCAGCGTCTAGACGCCTAGGCATACGCTTAGGCGACGCCTAGGTGTTTGACTATTTTTAAAATTAATTATTATTTGATTATAATAATTGATAAAAATATGTATTAACTTCATATAAATTTGTAAAAAAAATAGATAGCAATCATAGATCCACAATAAATCATGCATACTAAATGCTAAATAGCTAAAATAATAACTAACAAGGTTATAGAAAGCGCTAGGAGGCTTAGGCGTTGGACCCGTCGCCTAGAGCCTAGGAGATTTTTTTTATTTTTTAATTACAATAATTGATAGTAAATGTTAATATTATAGATAGCTTAAGCGCTAAACTGGTGTCTAGATGGATTTCTTTCTTGATTTAAGTGGTGATCGAGAAAGTTTTGCTGAAAGTCAGAGGAGGTAGTTGAGATGTTCATATTTGGAGGTTAAAGGAGTTTAAAGGAGGTTGAAGGATGTGAAGGCTGCAACACAGAAAATACGATCAAGGCCTAAAGGATGCAGTCCACATAAACGGGCAATACTTTCCTAAATACTCATAAAATCTAGGTGGGCAGTATAAGTACCGCCTAGGTGCTAGGCGCTAGTTAGGCGGCTAAGCTACTGCCGAGGCCTAGGCGTACACCTAGGCGGAGGCTTTTTAAAACAGTGATTACAGACTCCTCTGAACATAAAAACCTCCCCTGAACATGGGAGGAGTTGCATTAAACCCCCTCAACTTTTTTTATTCCACTAACTCCCCTAAACTTCAGGAGTTATTGCACATAACCCCTTAAACTTTTTTATTCTACTAAATTTTACCTGAAAATTTCTTGTTGTATCCTCATTTGCTTCATCAACTCTAACATGTCATTGGGTAAACACATGCCAATAGGAAAAAAAGGATGAAAATTCTTTCTTAGTCCTAAAATATACCCTTTTAATAAAAAGGAAAAATAGGTAACCTTTTGGTTCTAAGCTATGAAGCACGGATACGCATAACATGAAGCCGTGTCGTGTCGTGTCCGTGTCGGACACACGTGTCGAACACACGTATCCTATGTATTTTTTAGGATGTCTCGTGTCGGCGTGTCGGATGGCCGTGTCGGAGCCGTGTCCATGCTACATAGGTTCTAAGAGATTATTTTCATCTTTCTTGCCATATGCTTGCCGCATGAGATGTTAGAATTAATTGTGTTAATTTGGAGATTAAATGATAATTTTCTAGTGAAATTTAGTGGAATGAAAGAGTTTAGGGGGTTATGTACAATAACTCCTAAAGGTCTGGAGGGTTTAGTAGAGCAGGAAAAGTTGAGGGGGGTTTAGTGCAACTCCCCCAAAGTTCGGGGTGTGTGGAGGGTTCTGTAATTAACCAAAATAATTAATTTAAAATTTTGATATATGAGAAATTATTAGTGAAAGTTTATTTCTTTTTATTCTATATTTCTTGTTAACTGGGACTAACCGGATGTTGAGGTGTAAACTATTTTACCTGGGTATTTTTAATCTGAAACCGTACCCGTACCCAAACTCCTTGCGTTCCTTGCATATATGTATATATTTATTTGGGCATATACTCAATTATACAATACATGTTTCAATTTAAAACACTAGTCATACAATTTCTAACATATAACCTACACATCCACTTCTTGAGACTCATTGGACAAAGTCAAGTTTTGAACTATGATTTTGAAGCGTTGTTTGCATGTCTAGTTCAAAAACTAGTTATTTTTCAATTTATGATGCACAAAATAAAAAAAACTTATTTTTGTAGGAATTTTAATTCTCATCCTTGTTCTCATATAAATTATTATTTCTAGTATATAATATATATGTATATAAATATTTCATAAAAAAACTTATTTTTGTAGGAATTTTAATTCTCATCCTTGTTCTCATATAAATTATTATTTCTAGTATATAATATATATGTATATAAATATTTATAAAGCCGTGTCCTTATACCCTACCTTTTACAAATTTGCCGTGTCCCATACCTGTACTCGTACCCGTACTGGTACCCATACTCATGCCCATGTAGCATAGGGTATAAACCATGCATTTTATTGATAATCGATATGGATGTGGCTGTGGTTGTAGGAGTCAAAAGATTTTGCTAACCTAATTTCGCTATTTTCTATACTATGGATCCTGAATCCACCAATTTAAGAATCAATTGATCTATTATTTTATATGGATGTGATATGGGGACATTATATGCAAAGATAGAGACATCTATGAGGGTGTATAAGATTATTTAAGTGCGACATTTTCAGGTGCTACATGTTGGTGATTGTTCTCTTTTATCTTAGTCAGACCAAAATTATCACCGCTGCATCTTTGAGTGTTTGGTTATTGGGTATCCATGAGGCAGTCTTGTTTTGTGTGCCACTAGTAGATTATGTAGTTCTAGGCGCCACTTGTGAATATCTTATCAATTCCTCTCCCAAATCCTGTCCTGCTTAAGCTGATATCTTATGTTTTCTATTCTCTCCTTTTAGCTAGTTTTTCCTATTATAGTTTTTATGTTATTTCTGATTGGATATACAGAAGAGTGGTAGCTTTGAATGTGGATTGAAGGTTGTTGAAAGAGTTGTTTATTCCTTATTATTTAGTCCTACATTGATTGTGTACAAACTCCTCTGTTTCCCAAAGCACTATTAATAACATTTAAGGGAGAGCTAATAATCTCTTTATTGCTTCACATTAACATGGTATTAGAGCCACCCTCTCTCTCCTCTCTTTAATTTTTTAAATCCTAGTCGCCACCTTCTCAAACCCTAGCTTTCTACCCCTCTCGCAGCTGTCACATTCTACCCCTCTCAAATCCCAGCTGTCACATTCTACTCCTCTTAAACCCCAGCTGACACTCACCACTATCAAACCCTAACCCTCTGCTCTCAGCTACCAACCCTAGCTGACACCACTTCTAACCATGCTACTGCTCATCAAGGGCACTTATCCGTGGGTGACTTTTCATAAGGGACACTGTTCACGCGGTACTGTTCACACAAAGCAAACCTAGTTCGATCATGCTAATCATTTGGCTTAACTAACTAGATCTTCATAAAACTTAAGCTAATTATTTGGCTTAACCAATTTGATCTTCATAGATCTTAAAATAATCATTTGGCTTAACCAACTCAATCAGTCTAATTATTTAGCTTTATCTTAACGATTAGTCGTGAAAAATCTCTTTAAGATAAGCGATAAGTTATTTTTTTCCTTAACGAAATCAACCTTGTAGCATGATTTTACTTGGTCGATTGATTGCTTGTTGTAAGGGTGATTACTTGTTGATGATTTGGTTATTAGAGATTGATTTATTGTTGGGTGAGGTTTGATAGTTATTTGCTGGGAGATTACTAGTTGAAGAATCTTATTTGTGTCAATGGCGTCCTCCGGTGACTACTATTTCAATGGACGAGAGAGTTGAGACGAAGACCCACACGGAGGTGCTCTCTAGCAAGATCACTGACTAGAAATTGAATGAGTCTAATTACCCACTTTGGAAGCAACTTGTTCGAGTTTATGTTTAAGGTCAAGAAAAGGATCATTATCTTACAGATAATCCCCTACCAGTTATTGCCTGCTAGAAACAGGATGACGCTGGTCTACTTCATTAAATTTGGAACATCATTGAACCACATATTCTTCAGCTAGCAATTCATTATAATATAGTGAAACAAGTGTGGAGGTTCTTAATGCAATTGTACTCAGACTATGGGCATACCAATCTAGAGTATGATGTCATTCAAAAATTATTTCGGAGCAAGGTGTACGAGCAGAGTCAGACTTGTAAGGAGCACTATGACAACTTCAATCACCTTGCAGAGGAGTTGAGACAGAATTCCTAATTACGGGGATGTTCAGAATATGCAAGACTAGTGAGATCAACTGATGATATTCATCTTTCTTGATTCTATTCTACACTTATAACTCAACACAATCATAGGTTATTGGAAGTTTTGCTATATGCTCTTTAGTAGAGACATATTGCTTCTTGAGATCAGTATTGCAGGCAACGCCAGTAAGTACAGTAGCAGATCTGCCAACAAGTCTGCTCTTACCACACAAATTAGACAGTTGATCAGTCGAGGTTTTGGTCGTAGTGGAGGCCGCTGTGGTGGATGTGGAGGACGCTTTGGAGCACGTAGGGGACGAGGTGATAGTTCACAAGGAGTTGTAGAGGAGGGTTCATCTTGTTTCTCTATCCATTGTCATTACTGTAAGGAGTCAGATCATATAAAATTCTATTGTCCTTAGCTATATGGAAAACAACTTCGGAGTGCACATGTGACTACAGAAGAGAGTCCCATAGATGATAATACCCGCAACCAACTTGAGCAATTTCAACTCCAGTTATTCCAGCAATTTAAGGAGACACAATTCTCTTATACTACAGCTACACTTGCCCGTCAGGTAAACCCATTGCTTGTCTTACATCGTCATCATCCTTTACTTGGGGTATAGATTCAAGGGTAACTAATCATATGATTGGAACTCGAGGTATATTTTTCTCGTGCACACCTATCACCTCCTTTTCTTCAGTAGTATTGGCTTATGGATCCACTACAACTATGAAATGTGTTGGATCTACCAATATTAGTACTATTTTACTTTCATCTGTGCAATATCTTCCTCGCTTTTTATTTAATCTCTTATCTGTCAGTAGGATTACTAAAGCATTAAATTGGCTGGTAATATTTTTTTCTACACTAATTTTTAGGCACTTAGGACGAGGAAGACGATTGACACTAGACATGAGTGGAACGACTTATATGAGCTGGACTTTGTCCTAGCCCAGTTGACCTGTATTAGCTCCACATCAGCCTTTGATGCACATTATC